GTCGGATAGGGTTGTTCTGTGTTCTCAAGAGTGATGGCAAGTCGCTCCGACTGATCGTCGACGCTCGTCGTGTGAACGAGGTCTTCGCCGACCCTCCTGGGGTGGACCTGCTGACGGCCGAGGGCTTCAGCCGAGGCGAGGTGGCACTGCCGGTCGGCATGGCGCCACAGAGCCCGGAGGCGGTGGAGTACCTCAGCCAGCTCAAGCTCGTGGCGGGGACGTCGGACGTGGCCAACTGCCCCCATTGCCGGAAGTTGAGGCCCGAGATGTCCGCGTACTTCGGGCTGCCCGCGGCCCCTGCGCACGTCTTCGGGCTCGAGGGCACTGCGGCTGGAGGTCGGCGCCTGGGGCGAACCTCGCCGGTGTATCCAGTATGGGCGGTGCTGCCGATGGGGTTCACCTGGGGTCTCTGGTTTGCCCAGCGTATAAACGAGCTGCAGACCTTGCGAGGCGCCTCTACTCCTCTGGGGGCCCCCCTCCATGGCAGAGGGCCTCCCCTGATGGTGCTGCCGCCCGAGACGGCCGCAGGTCAGACACATCACTACGTGTGCGTCGACAACCTCGGGATCCTGCACACCCGGCGCTACGAGGTCGGGGAGGCCATCTCGGCTTTGCAGCGCCACTTTTCTGAGCTGGGTTTAGTGCTGCACGAGTCTGCGGTGACCGACGAGAAGTGCAAAACGCTGGGCGTCGAGCTGCTGGGCGGGGGCCTCCGATCCCGAGTGACCTCGGAGCGATGGTGGCTGATCCGCCGTGCCATCGAGGCTCTCCTTCGACGCCCGAAGTGCTCAGGCTGGGCACTGGAGGTGGTAGTCGACCACTGCACCTTTGCCGGCCTTGCCAACCGAGGATGCCTCTCGGCGTGGCACACGGTGCACGCTTTCATGCACAAGTATCGCGAGGGGGCCGGCTACCTCTGGGACGAGTGCCTACAGGAGCTACGTGCGTTCAAGGGGCTCATGCTGTTCCTGGAGAGCGACTGGACGCGACCGTGGAACCCGATTGTCTTCGAGACTGACAGCTCCGTCGAGGGGATGGGCATCGCCAAGGCCATGTGGGACCCGGAGGATGTCTCCGCCGTGGGCCGAGTGCTGGAGCGCTCGCGCTTCAAGCGGTCTGGAGGCTGCGGAGCCCGCGAGTCTGCCCTGCAGGCTTCTGGCGTGACCCGTCGGGCAAGTGGCAAGTGTCCGATCCGGACGCAGACCCGAGAGCCGAGGGCGCCTGGACGTTGGATTCTAGTTTTGCCGAGGTGCCCGCCAGGCTCCTCGCGTCCAGTCTCTGGCGCACTTGCTATGTACGTAAGTGGTTGTTCGACGAAAACATTCTTTTGAAGGAAGCGCGGGCGGTCCTCGTGGCCGTCAAGCGTCTGGCTATCTTCCAGAGCACGCGATTTGAGGCAGTTGATTCTAGGTGGCAATATGTCAGTTGTCCTCGCCGTCAGTCGTAGCAGATGTCACGATTCCAGGCTGCTTGCTATCATTCGACGCATCCAGGCCTATTGCCTTTCTAGGAACATACAACTCCTGGTCCGCTGGATCCCTTCAGAGTTCAATTTTTCGGACCTGGGTTCCAGGGTGTTCAGCGGGCCCGATTCAAGCAATCTTTTGGTAGACGAGCTAGACGCCAGGTTTCGCTGTTTTCTGGGGTCGGAGAAGAGCGACAATGAGAAGCCCTCTCCATTCTATTTTCTTGACGGTAATGCTCCACACGTTCGCTCCCCCGCTTCCGCCACTGGCGGCTCCTCCGTAAACATTTTGGCTCACGCCGTTCTGTCCGAAGATGATCCGCCGAGGGGCCTGCGCGACCCGCGCCCACCCCGGCCCCAGACGAGAGACGCGCCTGACCCGCGAGGACGCCCATGGGAGCCTGGTCTCGCGCCTGATCCCGCGGTCCGCGCGGGAGGCGAGGCTGGGGCTGAGCCCGCCAGCTCTGCGACCATCCGCTGCAGGGGGCAAGCGGAAGCAGATAGACGCAAGCGGCTGCAACGAAGTCGACGACAGCGGCAGCGCCGCGAGCGAGCAGAGCGGAGGAAAGCGCGCCTTTCCGAAGCGGGCGGCGGCGCTGAGGAAGAAGGCTCGCCAGCGGCGGTCAAAATTCCTCTCGGAGGCGGTGGCCAGGGCCATGGGCGGCGGACTCAACTTCCTCGAGGCCAGCAGCGTCACGAAGCCGGTGCGGGGGCGGTACGAGAGGGAGATGATGGAGTTCATCGACTACTGCGACCGCCCCCGGGCCTTGGCGCTGAGGTCAGCTGCCCAGGTGGACAAGGCTCTCTCCCAGCATTTCAACTACCAGTTTTTCCAGGGCCACGAGGCGGCCAAGGGAGAGCAGGCCCTAGCTGGCCTCATGTGCTCAAGGCCGGAGTTCGGCAAGTGGGGCTCCCAGAAGCTGCCCAATGCCTGGCGAGCGCTGCGAGGCTGGCGCAAGCGAGCACCCGCTCGCAGCCGCCGCGCATGGGCCTTGGGAGTCTGGGCCGCCCTGGCGTGGCGCCTAGGCGCGACCCAAGGGCTACTGATGTGCGTGTTCCTCTTGCTCTCGCTCAGTGCGCACTGTCGCCCCGGAGAGCTCATGGGGTTGAGGAGGAGGGGTCTCATCAGGCCCACGCCTGGCGTCTCCAAGAACTGGAGCATCTTCTTCTTCCCCAGCGATCGCATCGAGAGGTCGAGGACGGGCCTGGCGGACGTGTGCATCGCCCTCGACAGCAAGTGGGCCCAGTGCCTGATTCCGCTCTGGCTGCTGCTGATCGAAGGCGATCCCGACGGCCTCGTGTTCACGTTCGAGTACCCGGCCTACGCGCGAGCCTTCCAGGGCAGCGTGAAGGAGCTGGGCATAGAGGACAGGATCATCCCCTACCAGACGCGCCACAGCGGTCCTTCCATAGGTGCGTCGAGGGGCTGGCGCACGGCGGAGGAGGTCCAGCGTCGGGGGCAATGGAAGCAAATCAGATCAACGATCCGCTACGAGAAGGGGGCCAGGCTAGGAGAGAGCTGGGCCAGGCTCCACCCGAGGCTTCAGATCGTCTGCGAGCTGTGCGAAAGACATCTCGCGGACATCGTGCTGCGACGCCCGCGCTCTATCAGCCTTCACCTGCTGGGCGCTGTCTGCGGGAAAAAATCCCCGTTGACTGCTTCGCGGGGAGCGGCGCCATCAGCGCAGCTAGCCTGAGACAGGGATGCCAGGCTAGGGGGCACGACTCTGCGAGGGGAGCTGACGAGGACCTATGCTGCCGCTGCGTTCGCAAGCACATCCAGTCTCAGGTTCTGCGAGGCGAGGTAGCTGCTGCCAGTCTTGCGCCTCCATGCGGGTCCTGGGGTGTAGCTGCCGAGCGCTGAGGGCAGAGGATTCGATCAAAGAATGAGCCATGGGGACTACCGTGGCAATCTCTGACCCCTCGTCAGCGTGAGAGGTTGCGCCTTGGCAGCCAGACTTTTCGCGCGGCGCTGTGGCTGTTGCGAATATTCAGTCGCTCACGCGTACCCGTCATGTTAGAACATCCGATCCATTCGGGAATTTGGCACGCGCCCGAGTTGATCCGCTTGGCCCGACAGTATAAAGGTCTCTTTGTGATTTTAGACCAGTGCGGGTACGGAGCTAGATGGAGGAAGCGCACCAAACTTCTTTTTTATTAATGTGTTCCCCGAGGACCTCTCAAAGCTCTCAAGGCTCTGTCGAGGCTCCCAAGGATGCTGCTCCTTTTCGGGGAAACAGCATATGATCCTAGAAGGGCTAGCCTCTGCGGGGTGAAATGGACAGCTATCGCTGCCGCCTGCCCCAGGAAGCTTGCCGATTTCATGGTACAGACACTTCTGGCTCCCTCTAGGCTCGCGTGCGCTAGCCACTTAGAGAAGTCGCTTTTTTACAGCCCACCCACTGCCACCCTGTGAACCATTTGGGCTCGGGGTTGTCAAGGTTGGATCGTGCCACAGCTCTCGTTATGACGGATGACACGCAGTAGCAGAATCGTTCACCGCCTGGATAAAGCATGCAGAACTGTTTGTGCTTGCGCGTGAAGGTCGAGAGTGATTTATCATTTTGTCGCTTCTGGAAAAGCAGTCATAAGAACCGTTGTGCCAGCGTTGAAGGTTGAGAGAGGCTTATCCCATTGTCACTACAGCGTTCTCTCCGTAGCCCCCTGTTTTGTGCTCCTACCCGCTTACAGCTTCGAGTCAACTCAGACTCGCCCAACCCTTTTCACTGCAACTCTGGGGTTGTAAAGTTTGGATCGTGCCACAGCTCTCGCTATGACGGATGACACGCAGTAGCAGAATCGTACACCGCCTGGATAAAGCATGCAGAATTATATATAACATGTGGGGCGCCAATCGCCCTTGTAGTAAGCATTGGAGACGGTGGAGCCAGTTGCGTTCGGCACATCCCGCCACCGTGCATGCGTCGTGGGCGTACGGCCTCTCAGATGCCTGTTCTGGGTCTCCTGGGAGGCCTCTCGGAGGCCTCGTTGAGGCTTCGCTGGGGTTTTTTGGATGGCCTCTGAGGGCTCTAGTGGCGATCTCAGTCTCAGGGCTTTCTTGGAGGGGTGGCGTCCCGCGGCTCGGCGGTGGCGTGGTTATCGAGACCCTCTTGGGGCAGTCTTGTTGACGTTGCAGACTTCAGCTGGGGGCCTTTTGAGCGAATTCGGGGCCTTTCGTGCCGTCTTGGACGCTCTTCATACGGAGAACTGCGAGAATGCCTAAGTCATTGCAAAGTATGGTATGGTATCAACGCTGTTGGCCTCTTGGGCCGACCCACAGGGCATTTAAAGCAGCCCGAGAAACCCCGAAGGTGGCCCCAATATGGGCCCTTGGGAGCATGTCACGGCATGTTGGAAGTTTGTGAGCGCGACAGCGCTTCTTGGGCAGCGGGGAAGGCCACGCGGCGAATCCCAGAGGCGCCCGAGAGTTCTTGGAGTCGGGGGTCCGGGGCCATCGAAGGACCTGATGAGATTCCACTCGGCGTTTCGCGCGCGGCTCGGTGGCGGATGTCGACATTAGCCAGTGCGCCTCCAGAGGACGACGGCGTTTACCACAAGCTCCAGACGCACAATTTGATTCGTGAGTTTCACATCAACTATTTCTACCAGGACCCAGAGGGCGATGCACACCTCATGCCAGCGTTGGAGCACTTGGCGGCGTATTTCGCTTTGTTCCCGGAGGGTGAGACCGTCTTCAGCGGCTTAGGTGCTCTCGCATTTGTGTTCACCGCCAGCTCGAATGTGCTATCTGGTTCGCGGAACGGCGGTGACACAAAATGGTTTCGTGCAGTGCAGCGTTTGTGGGTTCGCCTTGGTGGCGCCGTCTACAAGGGTTGGGGGGAACGAGATCCAGATTACCAAGAGCTTCGCCAAGCCTTCGGAGAGCCCAGTGGTACGTTGTGCTCTGCTGGCGATGTTGTCAGAGCATTGCGAGATATACAATATTGTGGGCACTGCGGGGGGGCCAGCGTGCTGAAGTGCGCCCGTTGCCGTGTCGAGCCTTATTGCTCGCAGGAGTGTCAGCGACAATGTAGGTCATCGCATAAGAATATGTGCCAACCCCCATGATGGCACAACAGAGTCAGGTAGTCGAGCAGAACATCGCCTTGTTTCTTCAGGTCAGCATCACTTTCTGGAAATGTTGGTTGAGGAGGTGGAGGAGGAGCAGCATCAGCAGGAGCATAATCAGTAGATGAGGAGGAGGCGGCGGAGGAGGAGGAGGAGGACGAGGAGGAGGAGGAAGACGAGGAGGAGGAGGAGGAGGAGGAGGAAGAACAGCAGGCAGGCGGTGCAGAAGGAGGAGGGCGAGGAGGAGGAACACCGGGAGCAGCAGGAGCAGAGTGGGGGGGAGCCACAGAAGCGTGGGAGGCCAGGGCCGTAAGGGCGAGGGTTGCGCTCCCGCGCGGCCCGAGGCGGCGTGGCCCGGGGGTCGATCTCTCGGTATCGACGATACCGAGAGTTAAACGGTTAAACGATTCGTTTAACCGATCCCCTTCCCCATCCCCGTCCCCTTCGAGACAACCACGAAATTACCGCCCCAGTTGGGGATGCACCCCTCGAAGCCCGAAGGGAGAACGACCTACATCCCCATCTAGAGGGGTCAATCGGCCAGTGGGGCCCAGGCCACGCCGCTGGGGATGGGGATCGGTTGAACGATACTCAATCTCAACCCCTCCCGCCCGCCCCCACCCCGCGCCCAGCCCAGTCCCGGACCCTGGGCTCTCCCGCCTCCCCTGTAGGCTGTAGGAGGCCACCTGCGAGCCCTGCCCCACCACCGCACGATTTCTAAGGGGGGAGGTCAAAGTGAGGGGGCCGAACGGTCATTCATTGTCCCTGGGTGCGTGGATGAATAAGGAATTCGTAGTGAGAATTCTGCGTGTTGCGTTGTTGTTGTTGTTGCCTGTTGCTTGGTGTTTGTTGCTTGTTGCTGTTGTTGCTGCGGTTGCTTGCTGTTGTTGTTGTTGTTGTTGTTGTTGTTGTTGTTGTTGTTGTTGCGTGTTGTTGTTGCTGATTGTTGTTGTTGTTGATGCTGCTGTTGTTGTTATTGTTGTTGTTGTTGTTGTGTGTTGTGTGTTGTGTGTTGTTTGGTGATTGTTGTTTGTTGTTTGTTGTTTGGTGCTTGTTGTTTGTTTGTTGTTTGTTTGTTGTTGTTGGTGTGGTTGATGTTGTTGTGGTGTTGTTGTTATGGTTGTGGTTGTTGTTGTTGTTGAAGTTGTGGTTGTGGTTGTTGTTGTTGTGGTGGTTGTTGTTGTTGTTGCGTTGCTGTTATTGTTGTTTGTTGTCGTAGTCCCACCCGCGACCCAGCCCGCGACCCACCCCGCGACCCACCCACGACCCACCCGCACCCACCCCGCGACCCGCGACCCATCCGCGACCCATCCGCGACCCACCCGCGACCCACCCGCGACCCACCCCGCGACCCACCCTCAAGGGAGGAAAAAACACCTGGACCCGACAATTGAAGTTTACAAAACGGCCCTGGGCGTTGAAAAAACAGCCCTGTCCTGTTCGATTCATTCCTTGCGTGCGTTTACTAAACAGCTTCGCTTGCCGGGGTGATTATTATGGGGTAGATGTTCTGCCTTCTACACCCGCGACCCACCCGCGACCCACTTGCCACACACCTGTGACCCACCGGCGACCTACCCACATTGGTTTCACGAAAAAATCGGCGCCTGCGGCGGGCTCGGTGTATAATTTGTGAAACTTTGGCGCCTGCGGCGGGCTTCTCCAGAGTCTCGTAAACTGCCGACGTCCCCGCCGCCCCCTCACTCTTAGCCGCATCTGTGGGGTGCTACGTAGGGTTTGCTTCGCTCGGGAGGTCCCGAACGGAGTGAGCCCCACCTCCCCCCTTATCGGAAACTGGAACATATATATATATATATATACACATATATATATATATATATATATACATGTATGTATGTATGTATGTATGTATGTATGTATGTATGTATATATATATATATATATATATATATATATATATATATGTAGTGCCAGTGGCGGGCTGTTTCTCAATCCCAGGACTTTTTGAGGGTCGGGGACGACGCTGGGGTGGTGTGGTGTATACGTTCTTCCTCGATATCCTTGGAAACAGCGAGAAATGTACACACCAGGGTCCCGTACACACCAGGATCCACTCTCCAGTGCAAATTTCAATGCAGGGCCAGAAAAAGCGTTGGCGTATAGAGTTCGATCCCCCCGAGCGCGCCGTGCCGACGCGCCCCCCGCGGAGGCCGAGGCGCGGACGCGCTCCCCCGCCCCTCCAACTCCCCTCCTCCTCCTCCTCCTCCTCTCCTCCTCCTCCTCCTCTCCTCCCGTCCCCTCCTTATCCCCCCCTCCCCCTCCTCCTCCTCCTCTCCTCCTCCTCCTCCCTCCTCCTCCTCCTCCTCCTCCTCCTCCTCCTCCTCCTCCTCCCCCTCCTCCTCCTCCTCCTATTTCTCCTCCTTCTCCTCCTCCTCCTTTCCGTAGCCATTTTGGCTCAAGCCATTTTGGCTCAAGTACAACATTTCTCGAGGTGGTGCAGAGACCAGTTTCTGACGGCCCCCACAGGTGGCCTTGCCCTGGCCAGAGGGCCGCCTGTCTTTCTCCTTGCCTAGTGCTGCAGCCGCAGCCACATTGTTCGATCACCATTCACGCGTCAACCCGCCTTCAGCAGCCATGGTCAGCGGCAGGCCGAGGCAATGGGTGTGCTGCAAGATTTGCCCTCGCAGTTGGGTGTTTATCGACTCTGGCATTCGCCAGTGCAAGTATTGTGGAGCCAACTTTCAGCCGCCAAACGGCTGGCCTCCGAAGAAGGGCAAGGGGAATGATCAAGGAGGAACTGGAGTTGCGTCGTCAGCCCAACATGCAGCTGGAGCAAAGCAGACAGATTTGTTCAAATATTGCCACAATCGGTATGGGGGAGCCACCCCTCCAGCCAAACTGTTGCTACAGCCTGAAGGAGATGGGGATGATGACCAACAGCAAGCGGCCACAACAGTGGCAGCAGACAAGATACACAGCCAGATTGAGTCTCTTGAGAAGTACATCGCCTACGCCAGCTCAGTTACTGACGAGCTCGCCCCTGGTCACGAGCAGAGCCTTTCAGCATCCAGACAGAAGCTTGCGCAGCTCAAGGAGCAGGCCGCTGTGCACCTGCCCCACCACAACCAAGTGCATCGTGCGACGGTTCGAGTCAAGAGGGCACGGGACAAAGTGGACAAGCTGCGAAAGCAATTGGAAGAGAATACTGAGTACATTGGGCAGGTGGAATCACTACTGGATACCATGCGAGATGACAGCAAGCAGTTGCAGCAGAGGCTCGATGAGGCCCAGAAGCAGCTCAAGACGGAGGAGGATCAGCAATCACATACATGGGCGACTACGGCCCGTGCGCACTTGGGCGACCCCAACTCGTTCAAGCTATCGCTGGAGTCGTTGGTCGCCAAGGCCCCCCAGGACGCCGCGATCGCTCAACTGCTCACTGCAGCACAGCAGCTGACACACAAGTTTGAGGAGGCGGCCAACCGTGAGATGCGAGTGGACGACGACGAGCAGGGCCCCAGCTTCGAGAAGCAGCAGCTCGAGGTTCTGGAATCACCTCTGCCAAGTGAGCAACGTGCAGCCTGGGAGGCCAAGAAGAAGGAGCTCGCGAAGGCGGCGGTGCCACAGCCGCCTAAGCCTGCATCTCATCCACCAACGCCGCGGCCGACGGTCGCCAAGCAGCCAGCCGTGCCGAAGCCAGCGGGCCCTCGAGCTCCGCCTGGACCTGGTGCTGGGCGAGGGGCTGGAGTGGGCAAGGGCCAGTTGCCAGCACATGAAGAGGGACAACGCCGAGATCGCGGGTCAAGATCCCATCGTGGCGCTGGAGGCGCAGCCGCAGGATTGTCTGACGATGGCGCATCTGAGGCGGCCAGGGGGTCGCCAGGGCAGCAAATGTTTTTCAGCGCCTGCAGGTCGCTGTGAGCCAGGCGCCGACGCAGGCACATGCGGCACAACATACCATAGTGACTTCAGCCATTATGGGACAGAGTTTTCCGACAGCGGTTTTGATTTCGACCAGAGCCAGCTTGAGTGGGAAATTGGTGATGGTGGGGAAGCTATGCTGGTGGAAACATTTAACGGTTCGTCTTGGGGTACCATGGCGCAGAGACGGGGGGAGTTGCAGAATTCTTCGGTCGCAGTTTTGCTTGCTCAGGAGATCAAGCTCCTCGAATGGTCCCTTGGAACCGCTAGTGCTTGGGCCATGAAAAATGGCTGGAAGTCATTCTGGGCGCCGAGTTTCACGGGCCCTTCTGGCGCGTCTCGTTCCAGTCTCAACGAGCTGGGGGGCGAGGGCGCGTCATCTGGAGTGGCCATCTTCGCCAGAGCCACTCTAGGGGCCCACAATCTTGAGTCACCATCCTTTCCCCCCGAGGGTATCCTCTTTCGGGGGCGTGCGCTGTCATGTGTGGTAGAGTTCCCAGGGGCCCCAGGCATCCTTTGTGTCTCAGTCTATGGGAAAGTCTCAGAGGGCCTTTTCTGTTCACTAACTTGGAGATCCTGGGGCGCGTAGCCACGCGCTGCAAAGCGTCGAACATGCAGTTCGTTCTTGGGGGAGATTTCAATATACCGCATGAGCCCCTGCCCCCCCCCCCCCCCCCTGGGTTTTCAGAGGAGTCGGGGCCCAAGTTTTGGTTTCAGAGCCCCCATTGTCAAGTCGAGGCAAGTCAAGTCAGAGGTAATAGATTATTTCGTGGTTGAGTCAGAGTTGGCTAAACTGGTCACGTCAGTTTCAACCGACTTTGACTGGCACGGCCGGCCCCACTTTCCTGTGCGTATAGGTTTGCCAGCCAGTATGCATCAAGTGAGAATTTTACAGATCGACACAGTACCAGCTATGTCGTGCGAGCTGCCAGAGGAGAACGAGATTGGAGTCTCGTCCGTCGACTGGTCGGAGCTGTTGGGGCGCTGCGAGGATCTTTTCTTTCAGCTCCAAGGACTAACAGGGGAAACAAAGCCAACAGGAGCGAGGACACTTTCAGGAGTTTTGCGCAGATACTGGGCCCAGAAGGCGGAGAGGGAGGTTGCGGATCGGACGAAATCGAAACTCACCAGGCCAGGAGTTCGAGGATTACTGCCGAAGCCACGTCTCGCCCCGCTGGTCCAGAG